CCAAAGGGTAAGCGATTCCTCTTTTTTATAGCTGCATAGTATTCCACTGTGTAAGTGTCCCACAGCTTTTTTATTCATTTACCTACTGATGGTCACTTGGGCTGTTTCCAAGACTTCGCTATTGTAAATAACACTTTTAAATCTGACTTTTAATTAATATGGTAGCATTATGAATAAGTATTTTTATATATGAATTTAAATTAATTAATATCACTATATGAATTTTCAAATTGTTATACAATGATCAGTCTTAGCTTTTATAAGATCAACTTATTTTTGTAAAGAAAAATAATATTCCCTCTTGAACAGAAACATTTTCAATTAAATGACTATACTCTATTTTCTGTGTTAGGTAGGACCCACCTTTCTTTTTATAAAACTGTCACTATATCTAACACTGTCCACTCACTACCTTTTCTAAGTAAGAGATGTTGGATTGTGTCAGTTTTTCTTCCACAAAGCACCACATGCAAATTGCCTTCCCCCACACCAAGTGCTACTGAAACATTCTCCATCCTTCCAGTTCTAACTCAGTCAGTCTTTTCCATAAATCATGTCAATTTCTTACCTGGCTTGTCTACAGCCAGAAATTTCTTTTGCAGCTAATAAAGTTAGAAACTGAAATTAAGGATGAGAAATTATTTTCCTTGTTTCATAAACACTGCAGGACTCTCTAATTATGTTTAATGCAAAACTAATTAAAATAGTGTTGCAAAGACTCACCTCTAATAAAATCATATTGATAACCCTTCTAATGGCTTCAAATATTGACAAAGCTTGTCATATTTACAGGAAATAGACCATTAGCCATTGTAAAGATACATGCTTAATTTCTATTGATTTTTATTTTTACATGCACACAATAGATAGCCTTGATAAATATGGATTTTATCTCAAAAATTCTATTACAAAAAAACTTAGGCTTAGTTAGGTTTTCTGTTTATTTGTTTGTATTCATTTTTTACCTAATTTGGTGAAACTAAAATTTCTGAAGAAGAAAATATTAAAGTGATAAAATTTCTTAAAATATATATTTATATCTTATATAATAAAACCCTAATATGCAAATCCACCAAACAGTGGAATGACTGATTGCTATGATGTGCACTGACCAAAGGAGAGCAGACACTCAAGGCAGGAACTGCCCCCTAGTGGTCAGTGTGCCCCCACAGGGGGAGCACCAGTCAGTCAGAAGCCGGGCTCAGGGCTGGTGAGGGCAGCAGCAGTGGTGGAAGCCTCTCCTACCTATGCAGCAGGTGGTTCTCCCCGAAGGGATCCTGGACTTCAAGAGGGTGCAGGCCAGGCTGAGGGACCTCCTGGCCAGTGCACGAAGATCATGCACTGGGCCTCTAGTAATAATAAAAATTAACACCACTAACATACCATATGCCAGATACTTTTCCAAGTGCTTTATATTTATGCACTAAACACCAAACTAGCACTATCAATAAAGTACTGCTATTGTCACCATTTTAAAGATAATGAAACTAAGGTATTAGAGATTGAATAATATTATCAAGGTCAACAGTTAGTAAGGAATGGATCCAATCACTTGGAAAATGATCTTTATAAACTTCCAGTATATTTTATGATTTTTAAATCAAATATATCAATGAGTAAGAAATCAATAATGTAGGAATAATTAAATAAATTAATGATTTATTAATTCTTTGAGAATATCAAACTATTATTTTGACATTGTTGTAGGTTCTTTTCAGAGTTGGAGAATAAGAGAATAATTTAAAACAAATCAAAGTTTCAAAGAATACCCTAAAGACTCCTTAGTGACACAAACATAAATTTATCTGTAGCTTTCTGGGTTCTGAAATTTTGTGTCCATAAATATACTGATTCATGCTTTTATTATAGAATAATAAGAAGTTAGGGAAATTCCAGGAAAAGAAAAATAGAGAAACTGAGACCTATAGTTAAATAGCAGTTTTTGGCCTAGTAAATCCTATCTTCCCTAAACCAAAGATACTTAAGAGTAAATGGTTTGCATTTATCCTCTCCAACCAGAGAATAAATAGCTTAAATCACTCTACTCAGGGAGACAGGTAGCAGGAATCCAATCATGTGCCATTTGTATCAACCACACCTAAGGACAGATAAATTAAAAGAATAAATCTTATTTTGGTACATCAGCATAAAGCTGATGAATATTCTATTGATCCACCCCTAAGAACTATCTTAAATGCCCAGCCTTTACAACCCCTGAAAATTAAGGTCCCAGCATGCTCTCCCTGCAGGGACCACGCCTGTGCCATTCTCTTCCCCCTTTCCTTTCCCCACAGCACTTATCTCAGAAGGGAGCCCTTGTATACTATTAATGTGAACGCAGATTGTGCAGCCACTATGGAAAAAAAGTATGGAGTTTGCTTCAAAAATTAAAAATGAAACTTCGTTATGATCAAAGAAACTCAAACTATTAGTTTGAAAGAATATGTGTACCACTATGCTCATTGCAGCATTATTTCCAATAGCCAAAATTTGAAAGCAACACAAGTGTTCATCAATAGATGAGTGAATAAAAATGTGGTGGTACATATATATGGCTGATTATTACTCAGCCATAAAAAAGAATGAAATCTGCCGAAACCGGTTTGGCTCAGTGGATAGAGTGTTGGTCTGCGGACTGAAGGGTCCCAAGTTCAATTTCGGTCAAGGGCATGTACATTGGTTGCGGGCACGTCCCCAGTTCGGGGGGTGTGCAGGAGGCAGCTGGTCGATGTTTCTTTCTTATTGATGTTTCTAGCTCTCTATCCCTCTCTCTTTCTCGCTATAAAAAAATAAATAAAATATATTTTTTTAAATAAGAATGAAATCTTATCATTTGAGAAAGCATGGATGGACCTAGTAAAATAAGTCAGTCAGTGAAAGTCAAGTTCCATGTGATTTCACTTATACTTTATATGGAATCTAAAGAACAAAAGATATGAAGAAACAAAACAAAAATAGTTTCAGAGGTACAGATAACAGATTCAAGGTAGTCTAAGGAGAGAGTTTTAGCAGACTCAGTGAAAAAGGGGAAGATATTGAGAAGTATAGATGGGTAGTTACAGAATAGTAACGACAATGTAAGTATAACAAAAAATACAGTATGTACCATGCCAGGTGGTACTGGAAATACCAGGGGAACACTTTGTAAACTATGTGATTGTCTAGCCACTATGCTGTATACCTGAAACTACTATAAAATAATATTGAATGAAAAAAGCAGGCATCAAATTACCTACCTAAAATTAGAACATATAATAAAAGTATAAACATTTATTCAAATTAAATACTATTAAAATATTACTGTCAAATTTATAGAAAATTCTAGAGTTTTCAGTGTTTATATTAGAAAAGAAAAATCAAACCTTAACACTGTAAAAGAAAGGATCAAATAAAGTTAAAATTTGGCTTCTTGAAAAGGTAAATGTAAAATTTACCAATATCAACCAAATTTGATAATGAAAAACAGAGAAATAAATCTTATAAATAACATTAGGGCAGAAGAAAAGACAAAAGATGCAAATATTAAAATAATATTTAAAATGCTATAAAATATTGTGTTAAAAACTAAAAATTTGGTGAGATGGGTTTAGAATTGTGTAAATTACTAAAACATACTAAAAAATAAAGGTAAAGCTTAATCCTAAACCTATAATAGAATATAGTTTTTAAAATCTTTATACACACACAAAAATAACACCGTACTTAAACATATTCATAGTGTAGCTTGTATAAGATTTTAATAATATAGATAGTATAAAACTTGGAATGAAAGACACACTACTGTCATTATTAATACACTAGAGGCCCACTGCATGAATTCATGCACTGGTGGAGTCCCTAGGCCTGGCCAGCAATCAGGGTCAATCAGGGCCATCTCACCCAGTCCTGCTGGGGCTGGGCTAACCAGAGCCTCCTGGCCTGGGGGAAGGAACTGGCCAGGGGCAGGGACTGCAGGAGGTTGGCTGGCCATGGAAGGTTGGCTTTAGGAGCACACTGACCACCAAGCAGCAGCTCCTGTATTGGGAGTCTGCCCCTGATGGTCAGTGCGTGTCATAGTGACTGATTTACTCGTTTCAATCGTTCCGATCAATCAGTCATAATGGCCATTTAGTTTTATATATATATAGGTATATAGATAATAAGATAGCCTGAAATAAATAGGCATTGGTGAGCATGTGGAATAAGGGAAGCTCTTTCACTTTTGCTGGTAGAAGCATATACCACATATAATTTATAAAACAAGTAGCAATAAGTGATACATTTGAGCACACACATGTCACATAAGCAAGCATAACACTTTCTGAGCAGCATTCTCTTGAAGTCTTTAAATGGGCACCATGAGACAAACATACAGATATAGTGTTGTACAAACTGTTTTATACATCAATAATTTCTCTTTTCAATTTGTGGTCATTCCAAAATATAATTTAAAAATCCTGTCTTAAGAGAACACTATCAAGTGCAGACTTCTTTCTTAAAATTTCACCCTGAAAAAGTACTCATTGACAACATTATATAATGGAAATGTCAAAGAACTCGACCATTACAAACTAGCAATGCTATGATAATAAATTAAGAACTATCATTTCTTTATAGACCCATTAAATTATAATAGAATGCTAGTATTATTTGATATATTCTTAAATTAGAGCATGAGGTACAAGGAATAAAGGAAAATAGACAACATATATAATGGGAGTTTTTACAAGGAAGTGGGTCTGTACACATTACCCTAGGGCAGTGGTGAGCAAACTCATTAGTCAACAGAGTCAAATATCAACAGCACAATGATTGAAATTTCTTTTGAGAGCCAATTTTTTAAAACTTAAACTAAATAGGTAGGTACATTGTTATTAACTTAATTAGGGTACTCCTAAGCTGACCTTTGTTAAAAACTCAAGGGGCCAAAGAGCCGCATGTGGCTCATGAGTCACAGTTTGCTGACCACTGCCCTAGAGCCGCGGCTGATGACACTTGTGCATCCCAGTGCCTGTGCTTACCAGCTGCTGCCCTTGCACACCCCAGGCCGCATACTGCAACACGGAGTCCTCTACTTCTGGAGGATTTAACTCCCAAACTTCCCTTGAAAAGAGGTAGATATTTTTTACATGAACAAACTGACATCTACAGCAGCCATTTATTTGGACAGTTTCTCATGAAAACCAGAAAAATCAAAGAACTTACCTAGTGTGTATGTTGTAAATCACATATGAAGCAGTATACGAATAATGAAAAATCTGAAATTAAAAGAAAAGAGTTATTGACTATAGTTTGAAATAAAGACTCTATCTTAATGTGTATATGTGTTGTTATTAAATTCCATGGTAGCCAAGTATTGGTTTTAGAGAGAAATTAAAATGTGAACCATTGCAGTTCTGGGGCTCATTACCTTCTCTGAGCCTTACTGCAGTAGCCTTCTAACATTTATCCGACCATCAGTGACATTTTTATTCAGTCCACTCTCTACTTAGTATAATTGTGATAAGAATTCTATCTTGTCAAGGAAACTGCTGAGTTTGTGGCTGAGACCTTGATGACACATATAATCTCTTGCATCTCCTGAAAACTGCACATACCCTACCACCCACATTCATCAGGTAAGATCCAGAGGAGCAATGGCTTCCTTAAAGACTAACTAAACTCTCTCTAGAAGTTTGCAGCTCCTTGCCGGACCTTATGCCCATGGTCCAGACCAGAATCCGGGATACACCAAGGAGCCTCAACTTTTTACATCCCCAAGAATCTTACCCACCAGGTTTATTTCAGCTCCAGGCCCAGAAAAACAGCAAAACCAGACAAGTGATGCTATGGCAGCCTCAGGACCAGCCTTTACCTCCCAAGTGACTCAACTGGATCTCTTTTTTCCCCTCTTTTGCAGAACAGAATGCAGGCTTTCACCAACCAAAAGGTGGGAGAGAACCTAGCATCAGAATTCTTGAGACTCTGGGTAGACGCCCCTAATGATGCCCCCTCTCAGCTGGAAGTAGCTACAGAAGACGGATCTGCAGGCCCTGACCTTGCCCAGACTCTCATTTTTTTTTAATATATCAAAAAGCCTGGGATGTGAAATCCTCCCTCCCCCACAACTGGTGGGCAGAGTCATGACATTACCAGCATCTGTTGCGGAGACATCCCCAAGACATTGAACTCCTATTGCTTCTCTCCATTTCTGTCTGTGGAGGCAGCCAGGTTGGGTCTTTTCTCCTCTCCCCCCTCCTTTAATTTTGATTTTTCTACCTCCGTAATGAATTCCACTCATTACTGGGGAATAAACCTTCCTTTAATATGTAATAATAATAATAATAATAATAATAATTCTATCTTATTAAAAATATTTAGTGATTCCTCATCATCTATAAAATAGAGTTCATACTGTTTTGTCGATGTTTAAGGCTTTTTGTATTTGGAATCTACCTGTTTTTCCACTCTTGTAATCCACTACTTCCCTTCATCTAGTCTATATTTCCACTGCATTAGACAAATTCCCCTTGTATAGTCTCAACTTTTTCTTTCTAGGCCATCCTATCCTAACTCAGGTGGAAATTTTTCCTTCTCCTATTCCATGTCTCTCACAGATTACTCTGACTTTTAGGACACTCTCACCCTATAGTGTACACTTTATAACTATTTAAGTATGGGTCTTCTTTTCCCCATAATGCTGTCAGGTCCAGTTGTGAATTACTAATACAGAGTCATGTCTGCATGCAACATGCAGCAGTATTTGTTGAGTAATGATTCTGATGGGGAAAATCTCATATAGCTTGAGGTGTTTATTGTTGGAAACAAAATGTGACACCTCCCCAGCCCCTTCATAGTAATTGTTGAAGATAATATATTAAATAGTTGTTTGAAAGTATGTGATCATCAAGAGATGTTTGAAAGTATGTGATCATCAAGAGATGTTTGAAAGTATGTGATCATCAAGAGATGTGATCATCTTATAAAGAACCTTGTTTCTTTTTAAAGGCCATCTTCCCAAGGATTACAGAATCTATGATGAGGTGACATCAAATCCCCAAAATGGACCAGAGTGTATAATGCAAGGATATTTTTACATTTGGTTCTTTGTCATTAGAGATGATGAAATAGGGAACTACTGAGTAAATGAGGCAAAATGCAAAAAAAAAAATAGGTTAAGGAAAGAGATGATGAATGTGTTGTATTTCAGTGAAAATTATTATTCTATAAACTATTTAGTTCTGGTGAAGAAAATGTTTCTCTAGCTATATTAACTTATATTATTATTTCCAGGTCTTACAGAACTTAAACTTTTAGCATGCAATTGTACAAAGCTTATTTTATTTCTATAGCGGATGTACATTGTACAAATTGTATAATACTGCCAATTAAAATTTTCTTGAAGTCAATGTGTTATTTATTCTCAGTACATTAATAGCTCCAATTAAACAGGATTTCCACATATTTGGAAAAGCAATACTAGTGTTCTCTCTGTAGTGTAATAACAATCCTTCCCTATTTATTGTAATACTGTGTTTTACAGTGAAGTTTTCTTCCTTTTGAAACATCTGACTTTGAGATTACTTTCACTATAGATTTGTAGACATAAAAATGATTTTTCCTGGTGTCTATTTTGACATTCACATCATATTCTATACAACTCCCTAATGAATACATATTTTGAGCCTTGAATTTGCTACTATAGCTGACAGGTGAGAAATGTGACCACATTTTTTCTAAATCTCAGAAAGTTCTGTTGCCAAAGCACACTGCCAAGTGAGCACTTGACCTTCAAAGCAGACACATGTGTACATGACATTATGAGTAATGTAAACCATTCATCCTATCTGTAAATCATCTGGGACTATACCTGAATTCTAGGCTCACATCTATCCCCAGAGGGAAAAAAAATGATGTGTGTTGTTTTCTAGGCAAAGCAGGCCAAAACAATGACTGAAGCAAAACTGGATATAACCATTGAATCTGGTCTTTTTCTGTGATGTTTATCATAGAAGTATATAGCTCTTCTCAATGAATGGATCCAAAGAATTTAAGTGCTCTCTAAGTAATGTGATTTGGAGAGGGGGATATGGAAATCCACTTCCTGTCCTGTAATTCTTAGCCTGACACAGCATCTGTTTCTCACAGCTGGCGTGTAGAGGTGGAAGACCACAATAGAGAAGTTTACCTTGACTTGCCCCTAAACCTTAAGGTGCAGGGTTTCAGGCTCATCTGTAGGTGACCTACAAAGCCAGCAGTTTGCCATCTACAGATACTTAGAATCCAGTCCTTTCCTCCTAGTTTAGAGCTTTCCTGCTCTTGGTGGTGGTGGTGGTGGTGGTGGTGGTGATGGTGGTGGTGTGTGTGTGTGTGTGTGTGTGTGTGTGTGTGTGTGTGTGTGTGTGTGTAGTCCCAGAAGATCTCAAATACTTCTCCTTTTTGTAACTTTCATACTTAAAATAGTCTCCAATGCCCACATCAGAATATAATAAGTGGGGTAGGAGGAATCTTCAAAAGGGTTAGAGGTAGAGGTTTCTCTTTGTTTGTTTGCTTAATGTTGCAGCAATTTTAAAAGGGGATTTTCCATTGAGAACTGGATTCAGCTTTAGTGATCATGTGTATTAAAGTGCAATGATCTAAATTCATTTTGTGTTAATTTGTATCTCTTTATATCCTTCTTAGGATAACATTTCCTTTTTTAACATATCAATATTTTATTGTCATACAATGCATATGTCTCCTTTTTTCCCAATTGAGCTCCCCCAGCACATGCCCTCACCCCCCAGTGTCCGTGTCCATTCCCTATGCTTACATGCATGCTTACAAGTCCTTTGGTTGATCTCTTACCACCACACACACCCTCCCTTGCCTTCCCTATGAGGTTTGATGGTCTGTTCAGTGCTTCTTTGTCTTTGTATCTATTTTTGTTCATCAGTTTATGTTGTTCATCTATTCCACATGTGAGATCATGTGATATTTATCTTTGACTGGCTTATTTCACTTAGCATAATGCTCTCCAGTTCCATCCATGCTGTTGCAAATGGTAAGAATCTCCTCTTTTTTACCGCAGAGTAGTATTCCATTGTGTAGATGTACCACAGTTTTCTAATCCACTCATCTGCTGATGGGCACTTAGGCTGTTTCCAAAACTTAGCTACGATAAATTGTGCTACTATGAACATAGGGGTGCATATATTCTTTCTGATTGTGTTTCTGTTTTATGGGACATATTCCTAAAAGTGGAATCACTGAGTCAAATTTTTAGTTTTCTGAGGAAACTCCTTACTGTGCTTCAGTGGCTGCATCAGTCTGCATTCCCACCAGAAGTGCACGAGGGTTCCTTTTTCTGCACATCTTCCCAACACTTGTCATTTATTGATTTGTTGAGGATAGACATTCTGACAGGTGTGAGATGGTACCCCATTATTGTATTGATTTGCATCTCTCAGATAATTAGTGACTTCTAGCATGTTTTCATATGTCTCTTGGCCTTCTGTATATCCTCTTTTGAAAAATGCCTATTTAGGTCCTTTGCCTATTTTTTGATTGGATTGTTTACCTTCCATATGATAAGTTATATGAGTTCCCTGTAGATTTTGGAGATTAAACCCTTGTGAGAGATAAACATTGACAAATATGTTCTCCCATGCAGTGGGCTTTCTTGTTGTTTTGTTGATTATTTATTTTGCTGTGCAAAAGCTTTTTATTTTTATGTAGTCCCATTTGTTTATTTTCTCCTTAGATTCCTTTGTCCTAGGAGCTATATTGGTAAAGATATTGCTATGACATATGTCGGCTATTTTGGTGCCTTTGGCTTCTTCTAAGATTTTTATGGTTTCCCATCTTAAGTTTAAGTCTTTATCCATTTTGAGTTTACTTTTGTGTATGTTGTGAGTTGGTATTCTTTTTGTCAACATTCCTCGTTTTCTTTTAACCATGGTCTAGGACATTAACTAGGTAAGTCTTGATTCAAGATGAGAGGATAAAAGTGGAGTCACTAATGTTAGAGACAGTCTTTTTCCTCTAAAGTTTGGCTGCTGCATAACAAGAGCCAAACCGAGCACCTGATGAGATCCTTGGGGACATGGACATTTCACAGTCAAAAATCACATATTCATTTCATCTTTGCAAGTGATATTCCACTGATTGTTACAGAGTTTGAATAGTTAATTGCTGAGGTAATGAGCCTGGGGCAAAACTGAGATATCAATATGCAAAATATTGATCAAAGCTTACTCTTAGAAGCTGTCCTTGAAATGTTCAATCATCCCATAGCATA